TGTTCTTTTATACCGTAGACGGTCTAAAGGCCAGTCCACACAAGCATTATGTTTGGCACAAATACACTGCCTGGCCAAAAAAAAAGTCGCCACCTGGATTTAACTAAGCAAATAGGTACGAGCCTCCTATTGGATAATTACTGCATGGGCGATTATCTTTCAGCTGGCAACAAGTTATTTAACCCCAACTGGTGCAATGAGTTGCTTCTCATTTCCTAAACAACCATGTCGAAAGACACATCCCGTGGTCGTGGAAAAGATGTTAGTCTGTTTGAGAAGGGTCAAATCATTGGCATGCATCAAGCAGAGAAAACATCTAAGGAGATTGCAGAAACTACTAAAATTGGGTTAAGAACTGTCCAACGCATTATTAAAAACTGGAAGGATAGTGGGGACCCATCGTCTTCGAGGAAGAAATGTGGCCGGAAAAAAATCCTCAGTGACCGTGATCGGCGATCACTTAAACGTTTGGTGAGATCAAATCGAAGAAAAACAACAGTAGAACTCAGGGCTATGTTTAATAGTGAAAGTAAGAGCATTTCCACACGCACAATGCGAAGGGAACTCAAGGGACTGGGACTGAACAGCTGTGTAGCCTTAAGAAAACCACTAATCAGTGAGGCTAACCGGAAAAAAAGGCTTCAGTTTGCTAGGGAGCATAAAGATTGGACTCTGGAGCAATGGAAGAAGGTCATGTGGTCTGATGAGTCCAGATTTACCCTGTTCCAGAGTGATGGGCGCATCAGGGTAAGAAGAGAGGCAGATGAAGTGATGCACCCATCATGCCTAGTGCCTACTGTACAAGCCTGTGGGGGCAGTGTTATGATCTGGGGTTGCTGCAGTTGGTCAGGTCTAGGTTCAGCAACAGTATGTGCTCAAAGAATGAGGTCAGCTGACTACCTGAATATACTGAATGACCAGGTTATTCCATCAATGGATTTTTTCTTCCCTGATGGCACGGGCATATTCCAAGATGACAATGCCAGGATTCATCGGGCTCAAATTGTGAAAGACTGGTTCAGGGAGCATGAGACATCATTTTCACACATGGATTGGCCACCACAGAGTCCAGACCTTAACCCCATTGAGAATCTTTGGGATGTGCTGGAGAAGGCTTTGCGCAGCGGTCAGACTCTACCATCATCAATGCAAGATCTTGGTGAAAAATTAATGCAACACTGGATGGAAATAAATCTTGTGACATTGCAGAAGCTTATCAAAACAATGCCACAGTGAATGCGTGCCGTAATCAAAGCTAAAGACGGCGGTCCAATGAAATATTAGAGTGTATGACCTTTTTTTTGGTGGTGACTTTTTTTTTGGCCAGGCAGTGTATATGACCGTCTCTGATCTTTAGTCTCTGGGTTGTTTTTTCCCCTACATGCCTTTTTGATGTGTAATTCGTATAGGCAGCCAGTTCAGATTTATAGTGAACAGAAAAAAAAAAAACAAATAACAAACTGATTTGAAGAAGAAAAGTTTTCCTCCCAGATGGTTTTCATGTACGTTCATCTGAAAACTACATTGAACTCCTTAACACTGGAGCACCTCAGGGCTGTGTTTTGAGCCCCGTGCAGTTCTCTCTGTACACTATGTAGCCATGACTTAATCGCCATCATCAAGTTTGCCAAGGACACAGCTGTGGTGGGCCTGATCAAAGATAACAATAACAAGGACCTGCTTCTGTATGTCAGCAAAACTAAGGAACTGATAGTGGAATTTGAGAAGATGTAGGAAAGGATCTTCGCCCCGTAATATCAATGGGCCCATGGTGGAGAGGGTGAACAGTAGAGCCCTGCGTGGGACTGTTTTCTTCATCCCGCTCCCGCTGAATTTCTGAACATTACCGCCCGCAACCGCAACGTGTGTGTTACACTCCCACCCACTCCCACAATGTGTGTGTCCACTCCCGCCTGCAACTCTGAGAATTTATGCCCGCACAATAATAGAGATGCATTGATTTTGCGTCTTCTCCCGTCCTGCAGGAGAAAACACGTCATTTTATAGGCTATTAATAAAGAGATTCGTGTTTGTTTCGTTTCCCTGGCCTGCATGTCTTTTGACGCACTGGTCAGGAATAGCGCTCCTATTTCATTGTTTTCATTTAGTTTTTGATGAAATAAAGGCTGTTTCATATTCTATTCTCCTCCTCTGTATTTTATTTATTTTTCTACCTTTATATAATCACTCAGTGATTGAGCACATAAACAGATTGCCAGATCAGCAGATAGACAACACTACACAATAAATTTAAATATAACTTTGTTTTATCAAAAACTTTGCACCATTACACGGCACATAAAAATAGACTGCTTTGCAAAAAATACAATATGATAAACGACATGAAAAACAGCAGTTTTAAAATTATTAGCCAGATGTCGCAGGTATGTTTGAAAAAAATAAGAATAAAAACATTCAAACTTAGGCAGCCTATGCTCAATAACACCGGCATCATCACACCTCTTTATGTAGCCTAATTAACAAATAGCAACGAGAGTAGGCTGTGAGTGGCTCAAATAACACTAACAAATAACATAAAATAAACAAAGTTAATGAATGAAACGAATGAATTTAACAAATGAATCACTTGGCCATAATATTGCTGTAGAGGAAGAGATTGTTGCTGACCGACTGCGGTCCCAATCCCGTGTGTCTCTCTTCCAAGATGCGCCCACAGAGACTAAAGGCCCGCTCTGAAGGTGCACTGGATGCGGGGATACTGAAGATGAAACGCACCAGCTTTGAGAGCGCTGGGAAGTAGAAGGCTCAGTGCGCCTTCAGACCTTGTTTGAGCTTCTTTTCCACATCATTTGCTGACTCCATCCTGTCGCTAGGCTACATCCCGATCCTGCAGTGTTTTTTGTTCCCGCCCGCGGCAAAGTTCAAACCGCCAGCTCCCGCAAGATTTGCGTTGGGTCCCGCGGGACCCGGGACCAATGCAGCCCTCTAGCGAACAGCTCCAAGTACCTTGGGCGTAATCCCAATTCATCCCCTTGCCACTACCACTTAGCACCTACCCCTCCATTTTTCATGTTCACATCTAGAGGTAGGAAGTTCTGATTCATCTTGGCAAAGAGGGGTAGGGCCAAGTGCTCTATAGCAATCCAGACAGAGGCTCTTCAGAGGCACACTTCAAAGGGAGTGTTGGGAGAAATCATGGGCAACAAAAGAAACCCACAAATGTATTTTCTCTGTTACTAAAGGTTTGAAATTATAGTAAGCATTGTATTATCCTAGTTTAATGTTGTTTTAATGAAAAATGGTCCTTCAGCTCCAATGGCTTTATAACTACCTCAACAACAAAAAAATCTCCCAACAGTACGCTGATGTTTTGGTAGCTAACTAGCTAGCTAGCTGACGTAACATTGGTATTGCTGATTTGTGCTTGACAGCCCCACATTCCCCCGCTTTGACGGCATATGACATTCGGAATTTAAGTTAAGTGCAGCAACGAAGTACCTCCACTAGTGCCCTGGTAATGAAGCAGCATTCTTTTGTATTTGATGTCTTGTGTGTCCAATTAATTGTGTAAAGCTTAAGTTGTGAACAATCGCTAGCGTCCGTACTTTTCCAGCCCCATCAGGTAACTTGACAAATGTCATAGTGATACTACCATCATTGCCATAGTTGTATCTGTTCATATGAACACTATCAACACCTACTAATGACTTACAGGGTTGTGCCATTACATAAAGATAGTATTCAACCACTACCCTGTGTAACTGAAATGATATTGAGCCTTGGTGTCTGCATCACTGACAGCCTGGCCTGGGCGCTGCACACTAGCTCGGTGGTAAGACAGGCGAGGCAGAGACTGTTTCACCTCAGACGCTTGAGGAAATTCTGGGTATTCCCTGATATACTGAGGAATTTCTGCTCATGCACCATCAAGAGCATCCTGATGGGGAACATCACAGCCAGGTACAAATACGGCACTGTACAGGACTGCAAGGCCATGGAAAAGGAGGCGTACAGCCGTACATCGGTGGCACTCTGCCCTGTCTAAAGGATATTTACAGCAGGTGCTGCAAGGATAAGACTGGGAAAATCATTAAGGAGTACAGCTGTACAGTGATGGCTGTAATGGAGGTCAGGTTATTTGAGGATTTGATCTTGAGCTGTTTGCAAATATAAATAACATTTTATTAAGATTGCCCCTTTCTTTCAATAGCAGTAACTAGCTCTGACCCCTGAGATCCGTCATCCTCCCTCCTCCTCTCATCTCATTCAGGACTTGGTCATGTCCTTCCCTCATGTCAGCTATGGCAGTGTTATGACATTGGATAAGGAAAGACTATCAGCTTGTAAACAAGGTTAATTTTAGCTTGCACTCAGGGTAACCGGTCACATTCACCGTCAGTGGTGGATACTGTAAATGACCGTGTGAGAAAAAGAAGAAGAGGGAGAGAAAAGTCTGTGGTAAAACAAACACCATTGAATACATTGTTTTCTTAATAGATATGATTTGAAAATGTTTGATTCAAAATTTATCAGTCATCAGCCGTCCTGTTTAGGTTCTGATCATAGAAATACTACCCCCTCTCATTCTATTTTCACAGTTCTGATCCTACAGTATGCCTCTGCAGTGGGAGAGGGGGATAAAGAGGGAGAAAGATGAAGATGTTACATAATGTATGCTCAAAAATAGCAACCATCTGTCCAAATTAAAGAAGTCATAGGTCAACATTCCTAACTCGAGAATTTATCCATGACCTAATGTGGCTGGAGTTTAAAATAATGCTGATAATACACAGTAATGAAATAATGTTTCATAACAAAGTTGTGGAATAAATTAAACTCAACAGTTCCAGCAACAACCCCATGACCTATGATAATAAGGAACTTTATAACTTCCTCCATGAACTCAAACATACAATGTTACATAATGTACGACGGAAATATTATGATAACAATTCAGCTCTCCATGATGTTAATAACTTTCTATGGCACTAATGTTGCTGGTGTGTGTGTATGTGCATATGTGTATGTGTGTTCTGCAGATGCGGACGCTCTGCAGTGTATCGGACCAGAGAAATGGCAGCTCGGGCCCTCGTCCCCTTTGTGCTGGTCACCCAGATCCCATCCACTGTCCACATGTTACTGCAGGAACTTCCTGTAGAGCCCGGACCCAAAATCCAACACAACCACATCCACGGGACTCTGCTGCAGGTCTGCACCCACACACACATCAACATCAACCGATGCACTCATATATATACATAACATATGCCATAACATTCAGTGGGGGCTGTAATCATACATCGCTTAAACAGCCACAAGTGTTTATGTAGTGATGGGAGCCTCAGGTGGAATCAAACCCTGAACCCCCACACAATATGATTATTTGTTGCTTTCTGCTGTTTTGTATTATTGTAAACTGAATATTTTGGGCTGTGAAGAGGACCCCCCTCAGCTGGGAACTCATGATGACCTTTTTTCTGACATTTAGAATTAATTTTTTATTGATTGCAAAATAATAATATTAAAGATAATGATAAGCTGGGGGTGGTTTATGTTAAACTCTGTTTTGTCATTGAGGTCATAGTTAGTTGTGGTGTTGTAGTGGATAGGATTATATTCAGAGATGTTTCTAATATCCTGCCCCCTTTATGTATGTAAACAGGGAGGAATATAGTCCAATACTAGAGCACTTTTAACAATAACGGCAATAATAAACATGTAACTGAATTTATACATTCCTGAAAATCTCAACATAAACTGAACATTAGGGCTGGTCGCTATATTGATATTTTATTGATATCATGATATCAGACTAGATACCATGTTAGATTTTGGATATCGTAATATTTTGTCCTGTTATAGCTGTTCTGTTATGTACCTTTACACACTTAGTCTTTATATCCACATTATTGCTGATTATTTGTCAAAAATCCCATTGTGTCAGATTTTGTGAAAACACCAAAAGTCAACCCTGCAGTATTGTTGCAAAATGGATATCAAAGTATTTCGTCAAAAATATTGTGAAATTTGATTTTCTTCGTGCCGCTGAGCTCTACAGAGCATCATTAACTTTAACATATTGTATCTACTTTTAGGACTTTGGTTTACAAAGCACAATATAATTAGTTTAATCAGTGTATTGAACATGTTTATGTTCTCAGTATGTTTTTTGAATAACATAACATATAGTTAATAAGACATGCTGTGTTAATGATCTGGAAACTAATATTAACATCACCCTCCCCCTGCTTAAGAAAACAGTTATGTAATTGTGCGAGTCTTTATAGCCATTCTAAAATATGGAGACATACCCATGACATTTTTTATTATGTGGTGCATTCAGTCACACCACCGGATGATACTCATTTGCTTTTATTGGACGATAAACCCATATCTTGTAAATCGTATCTTTCCAGAACTAATAAAATCAGCCTTGTACTGTATTTGCATTTACAACCATTCACTCTCAGTTTATTAATGAGTTCATAATCCTTTAATTCAGCTTAAAACACAAAGTCATCACATTGGAGGTTTTCACTCAACAAAGACAAAATATAAAATGCAATTAGCAAAGCGGTTATCATAACATGTATATTTGCACACCCACACAGAGATTATAGATATGGAGCATCAAGCCTCAGCACACACTCACACACACACACACTCACACACACATTCTCCATCGGCCCCACACACCCAGTTTCCACACAGAGCCTGTCCAGACAAGGCGGTTATCGCAGGGTAAATACCAGTGTTTAGTTCTGTCATCACACTCTGACAAACACAACCAAACAGTCTGCCGGTAATATCAACACACGCAGAGGAAAAGGGGAGAGGGAGTTTCCCCAGCCTTTTATTGAACGCCACTGACGGGGTCGGTGTGGGAGCAGGGGGTGCGGAGCGGTAAGAGCCGGGACCGAGGGGTCAACACAAAGAATGAAAACTGCACCGTTTTCTTCCTCACTTATGGTTTGATAGTGGTCTGGACTGCAGGGAGGTCTGCTGTGGGATGAAGGCAAAGGATGGGGAGGAGGAGGAGGAGGAGGAGGGCCTCTTAAAGGCTTAGTGGAGATTTCAGGAGGAGAGTGAATTTAGTTTGCTTTCCTGTCATGGCTGCCATGTGTGGAGCCTCCCCAGATGTCCCCTGCACTGTTTCTGCATTTGTCCCTTCAGCTCCACCTTCATCTATTTCCTTTCTGTCTCTGTGTTTCTCTGCTTCCTGTGTCTCCTTTTAAAAATTTCCTCCTTGGTATCCTCTCTTCCTGTTACTTTGCCCTTCTGCTTCTACTTTTTCTCCATTCATTCTCCATGTCTTTCTTTCCCATACCAAAGGGTGAGATGTATGTGTCTGATGCAGTGAATGTTTTAACATAAGGTGGCTTCTTAATCTTGTCATGTGTTCTTTGTGTCTCATCTTCACCATTGCCGTGTCTTGTCATACGTCATGTGTGCACTGTATCATCACCTACCTGTTTTGTTTTCTCTATGTTATACAGCAACTTGTATACAAGGGGACAAAGAGATATTTTAAAGTCTATGTCTAAGTCTAAGTGCCTCAACTAATAGTTATTTTTAACCAACCTTTCTGTCGTGTACTGATTTGTTTGTTTTATTCATAGGGACACTGAGAGTTACTGTTATATATCTGAGCACTTTGTGTGACCATCTTCAAAGTAGTTTGTAACCTGAAGCATACATGTTAAAGTAGACAGTTGGTGGCTGCTGCATTAGAGCAGACAGATGACAGAGACTGCTTCACTATGATTGGTAAAAAGAGAAGGAAGGGATGTTGTTAGGACTGGCCCTTTTACCGCCATTTAGCCTCGCTTGTGCCAACTTGAATCCCCGTTCTCTTTCATTTCACAAACTCCACAAATTTGCAGTTTTTTCAACTTTTTTCTCCCCATTCAGAAGAGAAAGTAAGATGTGGAATACGTCACACTCACACAGACACAATAATGTCTGTATGGGATATAGCACAGCTGATGCCTGCAGCCCTTCCTTGGCCTTTTAATTTCCTTTTTCCTCTCACTGAAAGCACATCAGCCCGTCATACCTCACACACTTTGTGTTCCGCTTCACTGGATTTTCTACATGTCCTTGTTTTTAAATGATCAGTGACTTTACGTCAGAATTATTATATCATATTTGTGATATAATTAAATACTGATAATTAAAGTACATCTGTAATATATTGAAATATTTATTGAAATATGTTTTTAAATACTAAAAAACTGAGAAGGAAAGTATACCCAACAGAAAAAGTTGAATGTTCCTCTTTGATGCCATGATACTGTTGTACAATGGAAATTCTCTAGTGGGGCACAAACTCATCTCCTACTTGGTACATCTGTGAGGCTGGAGATATACTTGCTGTTTTACGGAGACAATCAAAGGTGTCATGAATGGAATTTTTCAAATACGTGCCCATGTACTGTGTATGTTACTGGAGGATTCCACAAGAGGGCAGCAGAGGACTCAGACAATATAGAATTTTCGGATTTGAATGATCTAAACAGTAAACATGGCAACATTCAAGGAGGTGACTATATTGTTAGCTCTGAGATCACGGCAGAAAAAGCGACAGTGGCGCCATCTTAGATGGTATGTGTAAAGTACGTTATAACAATGGCGAGTTAGCTTCCGTTGTTCTGCCACCGCTGCCCCTATTGTTCATGTGCATATTGCATTTTGTAGATGCTTTGTGTTGATTTCTGAGGACAAATAGTTAAAAGCAAGTATATCTCCAGTCTTAAACTTTAAAAAACTTTCAAACATATGCTCTGTGCTGTGCTAACCAATAACTATGTTGATCATCTCATATACAGTTCATATACAGTTATATGAAAGGTTCCAAATATTTCAGTGTCTCTAGTTTGTTTTGCCATAAGCCAAAATGAGGAAAGGGATTTTTTCATGCTTCCCTATCTCCCCAAAAATTCCTACTTTGTGCCATTCCCCGGTGTGAGTCATATTGTAGAATAAAAACATTTGATTGAAGAGGGTTTCAGGGTTAATGACAGTAGTCCTGATAGTGTTGTGTTTATCTGTAGGGGCCATCTCTAACAAGGCTATAGATAGCTGGTGTGTAGGAAGGTGGGGCATTGTGGAGATGATGGAGCAGATATGTAAGGCGTGTCTCGCTGCTGGAAGGGGGTACAACTGTCATAGCTGTAGAGCTGTATGCAGGTGAAATGGTCTAAACATAGTACAGCAGAGATAGCAGTCTGCAGTGTACGTGTGGAGGGGAGCATCACACACAGAAACACTGATAGAGGAGATAGTAGCCATGCAGTCAACAGAGTGTGTGTAAAATATTCTGCACTCGTGTAAGATGGGGAGCTAAGATGTTTAGACCTCAGAAGAATTAAACAGTCAGAGAGAAGGTGAGTGAGTGTGAGTACTACTGTGTGTGTCTCTACATGTACAGCACACGCTGGCAGTGTGTTTATGCTGAGATGATGAGGACATTGTGTTTAGCCTTCGGAGATGCCTAATGTATGTTAATATGCTTCACTGTGTGTGTGTGTGTGTGTGTGTGTGTGTCTGTGCGCGCGCGCGCAAGTGTGTGTAACAGGTAGCAGATGTTTTTGCTCGAGGGAGAAATGACTTCCTCTGTTATTGTCAAAGAACAACTGTTAGTGGGCCAAGTGTGGAGCTGGGAACCATCACAGCTACTGAGGCCAGCTCTACCACCCTGCTGACTTTCTCACACACACAGTGAAGAGGTCTGATAACCACACATGACAAAGTGTTTCCATCCAACCCCACCTCCAGCCCCAGTCCACTAATGCTGCACTTCTTCTACGTCATTGAGGACTAGTAAATTGAGTTCTATGCTGAATTAAACGGTGTGACTCAGAAACAGTTAGACCTACATTCTTGACTGACTTGCATGTGAAGCTGTTGTAAGACTCAGCACCTCAAATGCAAGATAATGCTTTTTTTTTTTTTTTGTTAAAGGTATGATAAGCAGGATGGTCGGTTCCTGTAAGGTGAAAGTAAAAGCCGACTTCAGAATCACTCTCATTTGGCGTATTGCCTCACTATGTTTGCATGTTTTTGGCACTGTGTCTGTTGGATGCCTGCTGCGTTCAATCTGGCATCTGGTTGCAACCTTTTTATAAAGCCCCAACATCACCTGAGCACAGTGGGGGAACACACTCATGAACGCCCCAAGCACAGGTAAAGAGGAAAATAAGAAAATC